TGGATGCTACTGAGATCCACGGTTTCAGTATAATGTCTATACCAATGGTTTGATGCAGGAAACTATGCAATTAGGCTATAACACAATTTAGAGCGTTATGTTTGCTAAGCAGGGTTGGGCACCGGGTTGTAAACCCCACCCCGTAGAAAACTAACTCGCTAAAGAAACGCTATCCATAAAATCAATTCAAACCATTTAAACTCTACCCTGAGAGTTAGAAGGTCTTCAAACACAAGAGTAAGGACGTCTCATGATGAAAGCTGAGTTTTTTTGGAAGTCACGAGGCCGATACCCCTTTCGACAACCAAAGCAACCATTCTTTTACGCACATGGAATGTACGAACAATTTAGGAATTGATCGGTCTCTTTTATTGCACCCGCAACAATGAATGCTGAAGAGAAGACGACAAATTGTTTTAAATTATCTGAATTGCTGAAATTCTCAAATACAGAATATAGAACTTCGTTCGTCCAATTGTTTATTTATAATTTTGTGCAAACAATGCAAAATGTGGTAAATCGAAAAATGATTGAGTTATGTGAATTATTATTTCAGTTTTCCGATTCGATGCTTACGTGATTATGTACTTTCGTTATCAGATGAAAAATATTCTCATATTGAAGTATCGTAATAGTGTTTTGGTGCCTTGAGTTCAGAATAGTATCTATCATATAGTAAATCTAGAACAATAAGCAAAAAGACAGAATTATCAAAGTTAGCTTGTTTCTATCTTTAAAATACAAACTGATTAATCATAAAAGGTGACTAGGTTTTTGAAGTAGTGGTAATCAGTATCATCGAAAATATGTAATTATTATATGTAAGTACAAACTGCTAGGCATATCTAAATCCCATTTTAGATGTTCAGGTCCAAACAATAATGATGACTGTTCACCCTACAATTAGCTGTTTTAATCCATAATTGTGTATATCGTATGAACAATATTCACTTGAAATTGTCTTGAGTATGAGACATTTGAGAAATTTTCATTTGTATGTGTGTGTAAACTGTTAAATGGAACTTCGAAAGTTCAAACTTAACGAGCACATGTAAAGTGACAGCTGAGATCAATTCAAAGCATTTATTGTATCGGTCATCCATGTGAATCAGATGTTACAAAATATTATTTCTAATCAAAAAAGTAATAAGTAAATTAGAGTTTGCTGTTGACTTGCCAAACATTACCATGACATGTAAGTTATAGCTAAGCACATTCTCGTTTTTCTCATCAGTGGATGAAATCGTTCACGTAAAATACCATAATTAATACGAAAATTATTTTTCTTTCACGTGTAAGTAAATTGTTTTTCAACAAAACACCGTAATTCTTTACTTACTAATATTACGTCATGATTACGACACAATTCAAGGTTGATTGGAGTGATTGTTAACTGTCATGGATAACTCATAGCAGTCACAATAACTTGAAATTTAAGTCAGTTTCAGATAGATAATATTGTATGCGATGTGAATAACTAAAAAGCACACATAATCTAAATTTTGATAATTTTGTTGACCAAAACACACTTAAGCGATCAATGAAACCGTTTTGTTTGTAATTTTTACAAATGTCACTAGAATGCTTCACATACTTGTTAGCCAACAAGTGTAGTTTTACTAGAGTTCAAAGTGCTGTACATCTCTGAATAACTTTCAGTCGAAACAAACGCAATCCAGCTTGCATGTGAATCAACATCAATTTCAACTTGATTAATAGTATTCTGGATTTTTGAAGTTATAGAGTAACCATGGAAGTAAGTAAATAAATCCATGTTACCTAGAAGCTAATTTGAAAATGAGACACACATCAATGATTCCCCATGAATATGAAGTCAGTAAAGTTAATCATATTCTGTGTCATGTTTGAGGTAGGACAGTCCAAACTGTCAGTGTGACTAGCAATGAGTGTTCGGATACTTTTCGTGAAAATGTACCAATCGTGACTTATATTCTCAAAATGTAACGATTTATGGTTGAGGAGTGTTAGGGATGTAGGGTCACCAGACCTCGCTTGATAAATATCTTTATTTTATATTTTATTCATAGGTCGATCAGTTAACCCTGATATCACATTTCCTACCAGGAAAGACCTTTGCTGTGATTGGTTGCTGTGTCATTTTAATGTACTGTTTTTGTGACTGTCCCAGGGACGTCTCTATGGCGTATAAAAAACGCAATTTGAGTTCTTGGATTCATGGTGTGCTGGCTGGGTGTTTGTAGAATACAATTTCTTCTCTATATCAAGGCTTATCGCCGATACGATTCAGTAAAGGGATCACAGTAGCCTATTGTTAATTGTTTTGTTCTCGGTATTCGATTGGGCTGTACTCGTATTAGTTGAAGCATACCTAGCGACGAGCGTAACAAGGAGTTATCGTGACACCTAGTCTGCATTAAACAAGATCCAGACGCCGATTAGCTTTCAATGTTTAATCTGATTCGTCATCTTGCTCCTCAAAATTTTCAGGAAAAAGGTCTTAAGAGAGTAGAGGTCATATTAGTTTCGGATTTAATGTAGACAAACGCAACTTAATATTCAGTTTAAAGACAATCATCAACATTTTCACTTTCTAAGAATAACGTAGCCATTCATCACAGTCAAAACTTACGTCCCAAAATTTGAAGGTATTTCCTATAGTAAGAAATATCACACATCAATATTTAGATAATGTAATGTTGTTTATGTTGCACGAAAAGAATCAAGAAATCTTATTGGATATAGTACTTAACAGATAAACCTTGAACACCTGAATGGAATTATTTTCCACTTTATATGATGTCAGATAATTAACTGTGTGATTGAGGAATAGAACAGTAAACTTACTCGACATAGAAGTACGTGGGGCTGATTAAAATACATGAAAAGTATAAATGGAAATAAACCGTACATTTGGAGCGCTACTGATAAGCAGATCTAAGTAGTAGTAGTTCTATCGATAACAAAAACATGCTTTTCCATATGTTCTAGCTATTACTGTCAACTTTTACCAAACTTACATACAATAAGATTGAACAACGAATAGTGTTGATGGAACTTTAAGCTAAATCAGCAGCACATCTGAAGGTGAGTATAAGTGGTCAAAGCACTATTTTTATTTATAATGCTAATGTGCAATCGACATCTCATGTTTGAATATTTCACGAACATATAGTTAGCTTCTCTTTTTACATAGATTTCTTAATTATTTAAAGATCTTATGGAGCCCAAAATCTTAGTTAACACATCTTGTCATCTTCAGAAGTGCATGTAGATGTGAGAATTTACGAGGTTCAGAACACCAAACTAACCAATAATCAGAATCGTGGATGCCTGATACTATAGGTCCGGGAAACATTTGCATCCCTTTTTATCTGTCGGTCTTCCCTAAACTCTGATGTTTATTGTCTTCGATATTGTGTTGGAATGTGAGTCAACGACTGGAGTTACTTTGAGTTGCTTCAGGGGATATTCTACCAGAACAATCCAAGTTAGGTCAAACAAATCAATGTAGCTGAGGTGTAAAATTAGATAACTGACTGTCAAACGCCTCAAAGAATTTGGTCATATCTCTGGATAATAGAAATATCTATATTCAAGAAAAAAAAACAAGGAGGAATGCGTTATCAATGTTGTATTTGTCTAGTTCTTTATTCCTGGTCGACTTTCATAGATCAGCTTGAAGTGTGAAGACCAATCTAAGTGGCTTGACATACTACAGGTGGCTTCTAGCATGAACAGCGAACTGGTAACATGTCAAACCATGAGGCTGAATAAAAATGACCTAAATCACACTGCATGCATCGGTTCTCTGGTTAACGCTTGAGTTCAATCCTAACGAATCTTAGGTTCGGCATTTCGTAACTACTATCTTGCTTTTACACTGCGTGATTGAGGTAAGCAAATATCATTGACGAAATGTAAACCGTGAGAAATCAGAAAGTAGCAAACATAAAAATATTGAAGTTATTATTACAGATAAGCAGAGTTAACGGTCAAGCTAACAGATGTAAATAAACATGGGATGTTAATTTCTTCTCAAAAAATGAGAGACATATTTCAAACTAATCCGGCATTCTACAAAGGTCAAGTTAATATAATGTTAATATAACACGTATATTTCAGCATCTGCAATTACCTATTATTTATTGCAGAAACTGATCCACAAAACGTTGTTAAAATTACTTTCACTATCAAACTACTACAGAAACTACAATGACAGACTTACTTTATCAACCACAAGGGAACACTGAATAATAAGAGAATATGAAATATGCATCATTTACCGAGTTTCGGATTGTGGAAAGAACTATCTAAGTATTAGCAACGAGTTAAATAATTCAAAGTAGAAATGAGGAGTGGAAGTGTCGGTTTTCTTATGTACTACTGAAATAACAGACTAATTATCCAGAAACTAACTTCATCAATCAGGCTCAATTACAAAGAATCATGTACAAGGATGTGTATCGAGTGTAATCAGAAAATCAAGACTTCCATAGACATTATTCGATGTAATTTTATTATCATATCAAATGAGCTGACTTTCAAAACAGCAGAGGTTGATTTAAATAAACCTCCCACAATAGGTAATGATAGGAAATACCAAATTATTGTTGAACTTACAATGGTTTGTTGAAGAACAAACTATTTGGAATAAAATGATGGAAGATCAATTTTCAGTGATTAAGATATTCTATTTTAAAAAATATTCTGTATTAAACGATGTAATCTTTGAATGTGCAAACTGCAAAAGGAGGTGAATCTGTCTTCAGCATTTACAATTTGTACATCAGAAAAACACTTAATACTTTGTACGTATTTTGAATGATGGTCAGATGGTCGATCGTATTGTGAATGTTTAGAATCATTCCAGTTCAAGCATTTCAGAGTTTTGGTTTGATAAAATGTATGATCCTGCCTGTTTAAACCTGAAGAGAATAAGGTCGTTATAGTGTGGTGTCTAACTGACAACTGGTGTTTATTGAAATGTTGTAATGGCAACAGACTGATCAATAGAAAATGACCTGAACAGACTGATCATGACAGCATTCACTATTTCATGGGCATATACATTTCAGTATGATTGTCGATTGTTTTGATGAACAAATTATGTAAGTTTGTGAAAATAACAAGTTATAATGACATTGTACATTTTAGCTTTTTCCTGGAATGTCAAAATCTACATTTTCAGTGTATTTCTACATAGCGGTTTCGTGATTTAGCTGGTTTTGACTGTATCTGTGAAAGGCTTTCGTTCCGTGTATACTTCCTGTGTAATCAAAGATTTAATGTGTGTAGTTTCTCTATGCCTGTTCATTTGGAATGCAGCAATGAATGACGTTTTTGTGCAACAAATTCAGAGTAAGCTTCAGTAGTTCAGCTTACTGATTGGTTATGAAACTAGCTATAATGCTATTGCATTTAATTTCTCAGTCAGTTAGTCAGTTGCAACGTAGAACTTCGTACGTATGTACATAAGTTCATGTTGCCATACCACATTATTAGCACAGAGACGCAAATGTCAAATCAAATCCCATAGTGATAAAGATGGTAGAGGTATTAATGTTATAACAAAGAATACTAGGGTTTAAGGTATTATTCAAAAAATATAATTCAGTGAGATAAGGTTAGAAAGACAAAGGTAGGGGTGCTGGCTAATCCAGAAGATTAGGATTTGAGAGAGCTCAAAGAGTGGATGCACCTGCGCCATTGCAAACGATTTTGAGCCATGTCGTTCAAGGTCTCTAACCATTGATAACTTTCGTCTCGCGGACCCCAACCAGGTAGTCTACATCTACCAACATGACTCAGTCCACTTGTCAGTGACTCCATGGATTTGTGCCATGTTTTGGTCTGGCCGCCCCTAACTTTTTTCCAACCTACTCCTACACCACAAAACATAGCTCGTCGAGGCAGTCGGTGGTTAGGCATCCGTAACACATGTCCCAACCACCTCAACTGATGAAGTTTCACCACTTCATCTATTGATCTGCCATCCTTACCTAGTACTCGTTTCCTAACGACAGCATTGCTTACTCGGCTGTCCCACGATATACGAGCAATGCTTCTCAAACATCTATGATCGAATACTAGTAACCTACGAACATCTTCTACTCTTAACGGCCATGTTTCACAGCCATATAAGCGAACGGAACGAACTGCTGCGCAGTACACGCGCCCTTTGGTTAGCGAACGGATATCACGCCTACGCCATAAGTGACGCAGGTTGGCAAAAGCCAATCGAGCTTTCTGTATCCGAGCTGAGATTTCGTCAGTCACCAGACCGTCAGCACTGATGAGACTCCCCAGATAAGTGAAGTGATCTACACGCTCGACTACTTCACTCCCTATCACTAGTTCAGGTGCCGAAGCAACCCAGTCTTCAAGCAACATTTTGCATTTCGAGGGGGAAAACCGCATCCCGAACATGCTCGCATTGTTGCTTATGGTAGTCAGAAGACTCTGCATTTTGTCAGCGTCTTCACCGAATAGAACTATGTCATCGGCATATTCTAGATCAGTAAGCGACTTTCCTGGTAGAAGGTCAACCCCTGAAAAATCTGACGAGCTTAATGTTAACTCTAAGAGGATGTCTACGACAAAGTTGAACAAGAATGGAGAGAGTGGACATCCCTGACGGACACCACTTGAAGTAGAGAATTCAGATGACAATTCGCCATATGCTCTCACCCGACCAGTGGTGTTCGAGTAGAGTGCTTGTATAAGGTTAATGTACTTCTTTGGTACACCTTTCAATGACAGACACTGCCACAGAACCTCACGATCCACTGAGTCGAATGCCGCCTTAAGGTCCAGGAACACGACTATTGTCGGACGTCTAAATGTGTGTCTGTGTTCCAGGACCTGTCGTAGTGTGAAGATGTGGTCTATACAACCACGTCCAGGTCGAAAACCAGCCTGGTTTTCTCGAGTCTGCTCTTCACGAGCTCTAGTTAGACGTCTAAGTATAATCGAGGCTAACAATTTAGAAACTATATTAGTTAAACTTATTCCCCTGTGATTGTCACAAGAGGACTTCTGTCTTTTCTTGTAGATTGGGACAATTAGCGACTGAGACCAGTCAGATGGGATTACGTCCATTTCCCAGATTCTACCTAGGATCTCGGTCAGTTTAACCGTTAAAACTGGACCACCATCCTTAAACATCTCAGGGGTAAGCCTATCGGGACCTGCCGCTCTACCTCCCCTTAGATTTCCTATAGCTTTCTCAACTTCATGTAAACTGGGAGGACTTAAATCGATTTGCCATTCAGGATGACTGGAGATCGTGGGCAAGCGAAGAGTGGCTGAAGGCCAGTTGAACTGATCCCTAAAGTGTTCTGCCCATCGGTTCAGCCTCCTAGATTGAGAATGGATAATAAGACCATCCTTTTCCGAGATAGTCTCACTTACATTCGGGTTCCTAATACCGGTTTCTTTAATAAGGCGGAAAAGTTGTCTAGTGTTGCCTATCGCCGCTGCCTTTTCCATCGCTTTTGCTTTCGCCACCCACCACTGTTCACGGTCGTTACGTAGGCTTTTTATAAGTCTGCGCCTAAGTTGAGTACGCTCTTCATCATGTTCAGAGTCAGGTGGGATGCGTTTTCGTGCATCCATCAGTTCGGTGGATGCGACTGAAATCCACGGCTTCATCCTAGCCTTATGGTTTACCTTGCTAGCAGATATCACTGCTGTTTCCACAGCCTTCTTTATATCATTCCAACCTGACTCCGGATGGGAATCACTTGCATGATCGCCCAACTGTTTTTCTAGTTCCTCCTGAAATATTTTCTTAGCTTGATTATCATCAAGTAAAGCCCTAAGAGGCTTCCTTACGGTGTCTTTCCTACGTCCAGCAAGCCTCAAACAAATACGTGCTCGCACTAGGGCATGATCTGAATCTAAACATGTGCCCCAGAACTAGCGGCAGTCCTCTATCGAACCCCTCCATCGGTGGCTGATGGCGATATGATCTAGTTGTGTCCAACGTTGAGACGACTTCTGGGGTCGCCAGGTCAAAAGGTGTTTTTCCTTATGCTTAAAATTAGTGTTGGCTAGAAATAGTTGGTTATCTGAGCACAGTTGCAACAGACGGTCGCCATTGTCTGTTCTTTGAGCCGCGAGACCGAAACATCCACCTAGGTGTCTTTCATTTTCACTTAGTCTACCTACTTGTGCATTGAAGTCACCAGCCATTATAACTATATCAGAGCGCTTAACTTTTTGGAGGAGGTCCGAAAGCTTTCTGTAAAACTCATCTTTTACATCATCTGGGCTGCAGTCAGTGGGGGCGTAGGCTGATATGACGAAGAGGCAACGGCGAGTGTCCCTATCTTTCCGAGTCCTTACTGTCCCGTTGAGTCGGACGGCGCACAAGCGACTATCTACAGGGATCCAGTCAAGGAGAGATTGTTCTGCCCTACGACTCAATGCTATACCTACACCGGCGAGGCCCCTAGAAGCAGCATCAGGGCTACCGGATACACGAAGGGTAAATCGAGCTGCTTCTTTATCTTGGCATGGTGAGGTCAAATGAGTGATGCTACTCGGATCCTGTATGCGCGTTTCCGAGACGCAGCTCACATCGATGGAACGAGATTCTAAAGTCCTAGCTAATGACGCCTGTTGCCCTATTTGACACAATGTCCGTACATTGAATGCTCCAACATGTAGTTTGGAACGGGGTTTAAGGAGACCAGGAACGACGTTTCGCAAACTCGCATCGTTTGCATTAGCTGTGCACTGTAATAAATGAATGTGAGAAGAGTTAGTTGTGGAGATATGAGAGGTATTAGGGAATGTAGGAAGGATTTGATTTTGAACAATTTGGTCTCGTGTGCTGTTACGGGTATGAGGGCGGTTATCACTTCCCGGCTGCCCACACCGTGGAAGGTTGTTTCTTGACGAAGCTGAAAAGGAAGATGGATTAGTGTTGGTGCGTGACCGCAGAGTCCAAGGGACAACTGCTTCAGGCCGGTCACGCACGGCCTTTTTATGAGAGGTATTTAGAGGATTATCTCCGTTCTTAAAGGCCCAGTGGGCACCCTTACCCAAGGAGACGGAAATCCGTGAGGTAGGGTGAGGTGTGACATTTTTAGGGCCGACCTTTTCTAACCCTTCCTTCCTTGTGAGAAGGCAGCATCGCTGCAGATGCTGGTTGTCCGAGGGAAACACCTTACTGCTGTCACACCCCTCTGCAGTCAGCAGTACGACTTCGCCCTCAGACCTTGGGTAGCTGCTTTTAGTCTCATCGTTCTCCAATCGACCTGCCTGGCATGGTAGGACCTGCAGGAACATGTGTTCCAGCCAGTATAGCTCGGTTGGGTCATCACGATAGGCAAGCCCGACCACCACGTCAAGGTAGCAGTTTCGGTCGGGGCATTTAATTTCTAATGACATGTCATTCTGCTGTTTTATTGTTGTTGAATGTAGTATTTCAACAAAACGGTTGAGTACTGTCAGATGCTTAACTTGTAGTAATATTGCCACAAATTCACAGAAAAGACTAATCCTAACGGATTGTATGTTTAGAGTGCATCGTTCAGATACAGAATGTCAGGACGAAGCAGTTTCCCAATTATCATTCGTTTTCATAGGTACTTCAACTTGAATAAATTAATGGTGATTATCATCTACAGATTATTATGGTCTCCAGAACATCCCTTCCAGCTTAAGCGTCAATATTCACCAAATCAATATAAAGAGAATTTTTGTACATTGTCCATGATAAGTTGTAATCGATGAACAAGAAATGAAAAAATACCTAAATGATTACTGTATGCAGCAGAACAATCACTTCATCGTGGAATCGAATTTTAACATGAATTTTGTTCTTTGTTAGTTATTAGTTACTCCAATTTCATAATCAGTAGCAGGAAAACATGTTGTATAACTGATTTATTTATTCGCACTGACTCACATATCTGATATCGAAAACGGTCTGTAAGAGATGGATGAAATAGAATATTTATTGCACAACGTCTTCAAAAGATTTGTAGTGAAAGTTCAACTAACAATACTATTGGACATATTGAATTAGTAGTTGAATAATACAATCTGAGAAGTGACGATAGAACATTCAACGACTTCAAAAAATTGTGTACAATATTCACTGAAACTTCGAGGAAAGATAGATCGATCTCTGTAGGACAGTTCTATGCTCACAGTGAGTTGAGACAGATGGATAAAGTTATATCAGAGAGCGACTGTTCCATAATGTTTATTAGATAACCAATGTATTTAAAGTAAGTGAATACTGAATCAACTGAAAATCATTAATAAAAACGTGTTGTCTATGCTTTCATTTCAAGAGGATTAGTTATAACTCAATCACAATTGAAAGAAGTCAGTGATGTAGTGTATTGTATTTCTCAGACGATTACGCATATCCGATAATGTAGCCAACCAATCTTATTTCTTTACTTATTTAATTTTTTATCGCGATGCAAATGGGAATTTTTAATGAGAAATCTTGAGTTGTCAAATGAATTAAAACTGTAATTTCCGTCATCTCATTATTCAACGGATGCTCTCTTACAATGAAGTCCACTTTCAATCTTTCAATATGCATATGGCACACATATTCAGTAATGCTTACAACAATTCAAAATCCATAATACATGGTTCACTCACTTCTGTCCGTGATGTGTCTGGTTGTCTCTGGATAAGAGCAACGAAACAAAGTATTCAGTAACATCAAATGAGATCATTACGAAACGAAGTAGCAAGCGATAAGATCGGTCGGTCCAGAAGACACGCATAATCTGTCCAAGTCAATTTCATACATTTTATATCAATAATGTTCAAAACAACTGAAGAATACACGACAGATGTTTCACTGCTTTCTTCATATGGTATTCATCATCGCCACTGTATAGGAGAAACAACATACAGTGCTTCGAGACGACCAGGTCAGATCATTGTGGATAAGCAACTTGTGCAAATGGTTAGTGTCACTCCTTGAAAATACTTACACACTGTAGAAAGACAACAGCCTGCATCACTGAATTTGCATTCATTCTCTTTGGACCTGGTGTGTGTGTGATTGCGCCCACAAATTAAATATAAACGAACGCAATGTATCACGTTCTTCTACATTCATCTGAATTGCACACATACGATGCACGAGCACACGGAATCTATCCACTGACTGCTAAATTACATTTAATGGATCAGTCTTGATAATTTGAATAATTTAGTTGAATAATAATAATAATAATAACAATGATATTATTACTATTAGAATCTCAGAGCCACTTGACAATAGCCAATCAACAATACACTCACATTTTCGCTGAACGTGTAGCAGGGTTTCTGTAACAACAAAATAACATTATTTATGTGAACGTCTTGAATGTTGTGTACTCGGAAACTGCTGGTTGAGTCAAAACAAACGGCACACTATCATCAGATTTGATGATAGCAGACACTTATTGGAGTTTGCGCACGTTCTACATCCGATCTATATTTTTCGCAAGCATTCACTTGCAGGCAACACCTTCGTGAACTCATTATTCAACGGATGCTCTCTTACAATAAATTCCACTTTCACTCATTCAACATTCAAATGGCATGCATTCAATAATGCTTACAACGATTCAAAATCGATAATACAGGATTCACTCACTTCTCTGCGTGTTGTGTGTGATCGTCTCTGTATAAGAGCAACGAAACAAAGTACTCAGTAACATCGAACGAGTTTGCTGGATGTGTAGTAGTGTTTATTTAACATTCTTTATGTACACCTCTCGAATGTTTTTTCCTCGAAACTGCTTGTCGCGTTACAAGACATTGCACAGTGTTATCAGATCCGATAACTTCATACATTAATAGTATTATTACTGAGATGGCCTGGCGACTGTCATTTCCGTTACATATTTTTTGTTACTACCTACTTGGAGAATCTTATCTGATATTTTGTTCATTTCGGTTCACTATCTATGCAACCATTTCGGAAAAAAATGTTGTTAGTGTCAGTTAGTATTGCTTGTGAGTTGGTATTCATTATCCTTCTCTTCACAGTGTAAACAAATCATCAAAGTATATTGGAAAACTGGATGGCCGATAATTATAATGTATTTGTTAGCAGGAGAAATAATTTATATATTTGTGAGGCATGTGAGATGTCATTCGATGTTGATGTTATCCATGCTTTGAAACTCAGATCTGACATTTATTATGCTATGTCAGTTTGAACACAAAATTTAAAGATGTTATATGAGTTGCGAAGTCCAGTTGAGAAATTATAACATGACAAGTAAAGAATCATTTGTGTTATTATTTAAAACCCACGAATATTATCTGTAAACTATTAGTGTACATGATGCTGGACAACAATCCCATGTATTGTAGATAAGATAATATGTCATTTACTCACATTTGTAAACGTTCCTCATACAAATATCTGGAATAAAAGGAAAACAATATTATAATCATGGTTTTCCAGATTACCATCACAAGAAACTGGCCATATAGATCTGTAAATCTCACAAATCTACTTATAAGTTTAAATTAAAAAGTTCATAAAAAAGATTTTGAAAAGAGAAGGTAAACGGAAGCAGAAAACCTGAGATAAAAAGACTAGGAGAATAAATCTGTGACATTCAACTAAACAATGAAAACAGAGAAGAGAAAGACAACAGTGAACGATCCATTCACTTCCTTACACAACATTCGTCATCCTCACTGTATAGGAGAAACAACATACAGTGCTTCGAGACGACCAGGTCAGATCATTGTGGATAAGCAACTTTTGTTTGCTTTCGGCTCTTTAGATTGATGAGACGACTAATCAGTAACACTGAGGTTGCTCTTATACGCTTGCTACTTCTGTGGTTCATGTTTCCAAAACTATGCTGACGTCGCTATTCTGTCGAGACACCCGCAACATTCTTTTTCAGGTGCTTACAGTATGACTTAGAGGTTGGCATTCAATAATAATAATAATAATAATAAAAAGCAGTTAGAAAGTGAGAAATTTTAATCGTCAATGTTTTCTTTTCCCAAACTCTACTCTTTCGATTTCAACGTATATAAATCCAGCTTCTTACTTCGACTTCTCTTCTATCCACCTGACATTGCACAACTCTCCCTTCTTTTTGCTGTACTCCTTTATCTGTGGGTAATATTCTTATATTCCCATAATTTACTTTAATTTAAGTGGTCAGTATGAATTTTATCTTGACTTACTACTGTACTGACTACTTCAACATGACAGGTTAAGTAGTGCTTTGGTTATATATATACACTTGCCACACTGCTGCCTTTTTCTCTCTCTCTTCTCCTTTTCAGAATCCCATTCACTGTGTGAAATCCTTGGCGACTCTAGGGAACATGCACCCTATGTACATGACTGCCTGGATCACAGCTCGTATCAAGCGCGTTTCACTTGACCTTTCCCAACAAATTCTTTATTGATCTCGGCGAATCGCCGAAAGAACCTATTGTGCACCTTCCTTATTTGTACTCTACTATTGAAAATTTGGCTGTATAATACTGTTTCTGTCAGTGACATGGTGTAAATATGCAATCAGAAACTGACTGTTATATTTAATTTAACTGCTATAACTTTACAGTAATTGTGAAAGCATTTGTGACAATTTCATCTAGCCTGTAAACTGGCGTGACTCTTGTAACGTAGTTATTTGAGAATAAATATATTATTATTATTGTGCAAATAGTCCGTGTCACTTTCACTTGGAAACTACTCACACACTGTTGAAAGACAACAGCCTGCATCATCGAATTCGCATTCACTCTCTTTGGAAATGGTATGTGTGCGCGCGCCCACACATCAAATATGAACGAACGCAATGAATCACGTTCTTCTACATTCTTCTAAAGTGCAGACATACACGAGCACATGGAATTTATCCACTGACTGCCAATTTACATTGGATGGATCAGGCTTGCCTAATTGAGTAGTTTAATTCAATAATAATATCTAAGGTTCGTTTCACAATACAAAATCAACAATTCACTCACATTTTTCCTGGACGTGTTGTAGGGTTTCTTTAACAACAAGAAGAAACGATTAATAGAAACGTGATAAATATTCCTTATTCAAACACTACTGGTCAATTTACAGCACATAGCATACTTTTTTATTGTTGACCGTGTTGGGTTCTGCTATGATCACCACAAAAATTAGTGAGCTAACGTTTTTATTTTAAGAAGTCGGTTACGGTGAGTCTATTATTTATATATCAAAATTTTCATGATGCTGCAACACCATTATTGATGTCCTTTAATATTTATTATACTAGCAACAAAGTTTCGAACCGGTGTATATGTACAGTAGGAAACTTTGAGGGGCAGGTCATTGCAATTCCACCTGTCTCCTTCCCGTCACTTCAGGCTGTTAGTTTATTTTACGTGCACGATATTTGCACATACGCTAGGTGCTTGCTGACTACATGTGCCCAAGTTTCCGTCTTTTCGTTTGGTAGCAGCCAGTCATAAGCAACAATGCTTCGTGAATGTCTCAGTCATTATTACTTCGGTACATGACAGCTAATGACCAACCTGAATAATCGACGACAGTATCTGTGGACTTTCATCCTTGCTGCTTTCTCACACTGGCACTCAATGTCGATTTCCTACAGCTCTATGAATGGCTACTAGATTCAAGTAGGTTACAATTGGTCGATACTTCGTCGAATATCAAATCAATGTGTATTAAATTCTGTAACAGATATGTACCGAATCACTAATCCATATTTTGCATTATCATTTATTTCATGTTATATATGATAAATTCCTCAAAGTAACGAAACTGAGGAGATTTAACTGGTGATCAGTTATTTGGTAAGCGACGTCGTCACATGCAGACCCCCAGGCACGGCTAAACCTCACTGACTGGCACTGGACAAATTAGTTTTCACTAAGCATGAGTTTGACAGTTTACTTACTATATATATTACTTCGTCTTTCTCACGGTCTTTCAGGCCCCTCTCTTTATACGGTTCGCTTAAAATAAGATGGCATTAGTTGGAGACGACACGGTGGTTACAGAGCAGCAACGGCAGATATAGTATGTTCCACCTCTAAAATTATATACGGCACGACAATGCATCTGCCTGGAGAGTTATTCTCACACAACGGAGTAGCGATTTTATGCATATCAGATAACGTCCCACGACTATCTGCGTAGACGCTAAAAAAACCCACGGCGTCAAATCCAGTACAACATCGACGGATCTTTCTCCCTCGAGAGTTATTTACCTGTCCATATGTTTTCCTATGAGTAGATTCGTACTCAACAACTTTACGAGGGATCTTTTCAATTGAACTGTAGACACGGAAAGACCTTCAAGGTTGATGGACACGGTCAGCACTGATCGTCCCAAACAAGCACACGTCAATGACAGTGATCTACTTGCTAATCCGAGACTCATTGTTATACCGTCAAGCATACCAGTGGGATTCTTAAAGCTACTTCGGATCCCACGCTGCACAAATCAGAGACCTCCAGTCAACAGCACGCGTCATCTGCACTATCTACGGATGAGACTCTGATATCATGTCCAGATAAGCAGACCACGCCGCCCTTGACTTCGTATGAGAGTGACGGCTCACAAGGTACGCATGAGATTACCGTTTCGCGTTCCGGTCGCCGCGTACGCCTACCTGTACGTTTTCGCAACTAATATAACAATCAACAACGGAAACGTGATAGTGCCCTATCCTCGTACTACATGTATGGTACACTTTTCTTTTTATCTCTCATTTCGTATCCTGAAACAACGTCTGCAACCACCAACCTGTTGGTACCGTCGACTGCAATCAATGTTGACGAAAGCTGGCCTGACGACCCACTACTTTATCAAAGCGTCGAGTCGATGTCCTGGTTCCGAATATATCTGGCATATGTACGGTTTCTTGCTTAATCGTTCTGATCGTTTCTGGCTCCTCACTCAATCTGGTTCCGTCCTAAGTCTGAAGCTATTTCCGGTGCGAAAACCTACGAAATCTATCTTTAGAATCTGGATACAAGCCACGCTGGTGTGGCACACCAACCTGAGCAAAATTTCTGGCTCGTTACTACTTGTACAGTTCAACGTAAAAGCATTTCGGTGACATTTCGAGTTTCATTGATAGTTTCCTGTTCTTGAAAACTCCCGCCCTGCAATCGCCCGTTTGACAACCAGTTCCGGTTCCGCACGACGTCTCAATGTATGAAAAGTGTTAACCCTTTCTAGGGGGGAATAATGTAGTAGTAAATGTTTATGAAGATAGTACAATCGCTCAATCGGAAACATTTATTATTGTACTGAATTCTAACAATGATTGTTCTACTATACTCCTTTTGTTTAACTGTACTCAAGACAAATCTCGCGCGTCAAGCGTGTCATTCCCATTCTGCATTTCTTCTATGGGGTTGTTGACAAATTCTCTATTCCGGTCTTGATATTATTTCGACATCAAGGGAGCACGGAACATTATACCTTTTCATCCAGATATTGTCTTCGTTCTGAATTCTGGATCTATCGGGACTTAACTTGGTTATCATGCGAATAAAAATAGTGATCATCTGTTTCTAACTTCCTACGCCTAATCGTTATATTAAAACATAGATATAATATATTTTAGTCTCATTTACTGAGGATTTAAGATGTTGACCTAATCCGATACTAATTTTAATTAGTTAGAATACGGCGTGATTTCTTTCGAAACTTTTTTTTCGTATACTGTATGAGATTTTTGTTGCAACTGTTGTTCATTTGTTTTGTCTGGTTTACTCGAGACCATGCCGCAGCATTTATCTACGAATATTAATCAACTCAGTGGAGTATTTTCTTACTTCGTGTTTGCATTGCGTGCTGTTGCGAGGCATGTGAGATTTCATTCGATACTGATGCGTTGAAAATTAGATCTGACATTTATTATGCTATGTCAGTTTGATCACAAAATTTAGGGATGTTATATGAGTTGCAAAGTCTAGTTGAGAAATTATAACATGACAAGTAAAGAATCATTTGTGTTATTATTTAAAACCCACGAATATTATCTGTAAACTATTAGTGTACATGATGCTGGACAACAATCCCATGTATTGTAGATAAGATAATATGTCATTTACTCACATTTGTAAACGTTCCTCATACAAATATCTGGAATAAAAGGAAAACAATATTATAATCATGGTTTTCCAGATTACCATCACAAGAAACTGGCCATATAGATCTGAAAATCTCACAAATCTACTTATAAGTTTAAATTAAAAAGTTCATAAAAAAGATTTTGAAAAGAGAAGGTAAACAGAAGCAGAAAACCTGAGATAAAAAGACTAGAAGAATAAATCTGTGACATTCAACTAAACAATGAAAACAGAGAAGAGAAAGACAACAGTGAACGATCCATTCACTTCCTTACACAACATTCGTCATCCTCACTGTATAGGAGAAACAACATACAGTAGTTTGAGACGACCAGGTCAGATCATTGTGGATAAGCAACTTGTGCAAATAGTCCGTGTCACTTTCACTTGGAAACTACTCACACACTGTTGAAAGAGAACAGCCTGCATCATCGAATTCGCATTCACTCTCTTTGGAAATGGTATGTGTGCGCGCGCCCACACATTAAATATAAACGAACGCAGTGAATCACGTTCTTTTTCATTCATTTTAAGTGCACATATTCAGTTGCTGCCAAAGGACATTGAATGGATCAGCCTTGATGCGTTGAATCATTTTATTCCATGATAAATTTAATAAGAATATCTGAGAGCTATTCGACATTAGAAATTCAACAATTCACTTACTGTTTCCCTGGATGTGTTGTAGGGTTTCTGTAGCGAGAAAGTTAGATAGTTAATGAAAATAGCCTTCTGTTTCTTTATTCGAACACTACTGGCCGAGTCACAGCACATAGCGAGCTGTCATCAGATTTGGTTACTTCAAAAACTTAGTCGGTGTTGCCCACCCTGCAAATTATATTTGAAGTTTTTAAAGACATTCTTTTTCAGGCAAAACTTCCATCATCTCATTATTCAAAGGAACATTCTTATATTAGGTTTGTAAACAATTTTTTCATATCAAATAAAAGATCTGTCTCCAAATAAATTGATTATTATTTCTCATTAAAATATTCTTACTTACTTGTGGATTATGTGGATATTGTTATCTCTGAAAATTTCACAAACGGTCTTAATATTTCTGTTAAGTACATCATCATTTTTAAAACCATCGAGTTTTTACACTGATGTTAGTTTACTTACTTACGCCTGTTACTCCGAATGGAGCATAGTTTGCTGACCATCATTCTGCTCAATTGTAAGAATGCAGCAATCGCTTTTCCAATCCGCGTCTTCACATTTGTATAAGATCTACCTTGCTCGTCAATTATGCTGCCCAGATATGCAAACGTCTTACATCTTCCAAAGCTTCACCCGTAATTGCGATTTGGTTGGCACATGTTGTATTGTATCGGAGATTCTTGCTTTTCCCTTCTGTATGTTGCGGCTACAGTGGTTGTCTTCTCTTGCATTTGTTGTTTCGTGTGCGATAGAGGAACCAGATAATCTGAGAATTCCAGTTTGTCTAGCTGAATCCTAGCTGTCCACTGGATCCCGTGCATCCCTCCAAATGTTGACGACTTCATAATCCAGTCGATAACCGGGAGAGATTGAGAGCAAGCAATCTCATCTGTCTCTACTATCTTCGTAACTTCGCCCCTCTTTTCTGTCTTTTGATGCCACGAAATCGCCAGCAAATATATTCTTTACTATGGAATGACCTTGCTTCTCTGTGATGGCTTCGTAATTGCTGCATCGGTGGTTAATCTCGATACGATAGCCACTACGCAACAATGATGTGTAATGTTGCAATTTGTTTGGTACACTCTCTATCCTTACAAAATCCAGCATGTTGGTCTCGAAATCGTAAGTCTACCCTGCGCATCATTTCGCATCAGGAGCCTTCATGATAGTGAATAACCGTGATTTATTAATTTTCTCATTATATATGATTTCGATGCATTGCTTGTGTAGGTTTGAACCAGTGAATGTTTAATTTTGAGTTTAGACCTAGATTTCCATGAGAAGATATTAGATCGGTTGATGAGGTAACGAATCTCCGTCAACTGAGATGGTTAAGATAGGCAATACGTGCGCTCTACCACCGATTGCCTCGATAGGCTTTGTTGTTTGGTGTAGAATAAGACAATAAGAAAGTTATACATTCTAAAATCAAAATATGGCATCGTTATATGGAATCATCCGGTTTGATTTTTGAAACACTGTGTGAGTAAGTGTTCTCATTGGTATTTTGTCTCACTGAGTTAGTTTAAAATGTGTATTTATGTAGGGTTTGTATTGAATTTTAGTAACCTAATGAAAATATTGATAATCAGATTTATATTAAAAGTTTCTCACTTACATGTGCATTATGCAGATATTGTTATCCCTGAGAGTTTCGAAAACGGTACTTTAATTTTTGTTAAATACGTCGTTATTTTTAAAAATAGCAGTGAGTTAGATGACTGGACTTAATTTACTTACTTACGCCTGTTACTCCTAATAGAGCATAGGCCGCCGACCAGTATTCTCCAACCTATTCCGTCCTTAGCCTCCCTTACTAGTTCAGTACACCTTATGTTCATTCCTTTCACGTCTCTCTCCATATGCCGGCGCAATGTGTTCCATTGCCTCCCACGTTTCCTTTGACCCCGGAGGTTCCAAATTAAGGCTTGTCTTGTGATGCAGCTGAGTGCTGTCCACAATGTGTGTCCCATCCACTTCCAGCTCTTCCTCCTGATTCACTTCTCGACTGGAATCTGGTTTTTTCTCACCCTCAGTAGATTGTTGATCAATATGTTTGGTCAAAGGATCCGAAGCACTTTGTGTAAACAAATGTTAGTGAACGCTTCTGGTTGATGACTATGGCAGTTCTTCGAATTTCCACCCCATACAGTAGAAGCGTTTTGATGTTTGTTTTGAAAATTCTGACTTTGGTGTTTGTTGATAGTTGTTTCGAGTTCCAGATGTTGCTCACCTGTAGGAAGACAGCACTTGCTTTGGCGATCTGTGCCATCACTTCTGCACCAGATCCACCTTGCTCGTCAACTATGCTACCCAGTTATGTAAAATTTTGTCCTGTGCACCCTATCAAATGCTTCTTCTTACTCAACGATGTTGATGTATAGTAGTGGTGGGTTCCATTTAAATGATTGTTCTACAATGAGCCATAATGTTGCAGTTTTGTCGTCACGCTATCTATCTTTACGAAATCCATGACATTCTCTACTATGTTTGATCACAACTTGTTGAAGAATTTTCCTGGTATTGAAAAAAGCAGTTCTGACACTTGTTAAGATCGCGTTTCTTTGATGATTTGATCAGGTATCTTTCTATCTAGTGTGAATAGACTGATTCCTCATCCCAAACCATGTTGAAGATAATGTGGTGTATATTTGTAGACACTGCCATGTCTGCTTTCATACCATACAAGGCAGATTTGTAAGTAAACTTAATGTCATAATCACATTCATAGATTGAATTCAACTAGAACATAATCATACCTTAAAATTTACCGGTTTTTGAAACTTTTTTCACTCCACAATATTTTAGAGGCTAATCAGCTGTTCTTTTAATAATCGAAAGGGTTGTAAAATTAGGCTCCATATAGTAAGTAGTGCAATAAAGTATTAAAAAGTTTTTTTTTAATAGAATGAACTTTGTTTGCACGAGAAATTCACACTATAAACTATGATTTAGTTTAACTGAAAAAACCAAAACTATTAGACCTGTTGAAATCCTCTACAAAATATCACCATTTCTATCTGATTAAATACACCTTTAGAGTTGATATGTGTTTTATATTTGCTATTGTAACCGATATTATGTCCCATATTCAATAATTATCTCCATATCACAATTTGGAATCACTTATTCAACAAATTCCATTCATTTTATCGATAAAATTATTATAGTGATAAATTTATTCTATCCTGCACTGTCTACGTCCGTTTTGTATACTAATATCACTATGAAGTAGAGAACGGTTCATTTTGATAAGCGTTTAATAAAACTAACATTGTTTCATTTTGGAAAGCGTAAAACACTATTGTTAATTATTTATTTTGTCAATTAATGTCGAGTAATGTAGATCTGTTTGCAAAATCTGTTTATCTCGACACCTTGATAATAATGCGAATAAGATGCATCTAATGATAACGTAGTTCTGTAGTTCAAGCGAAACCTACTTATACCTATTTCATTAAGAACCTTAATGCAAATGAATGATGGATTATGATTTGATGTAACACATTGATTCAACATGAGTAATACCTTATTAAATAAACTCACTTGTCTTCGATATCTGATCTAAACCATATACATAAATTCATATTGCTGAGTAAGTTAAACAGCATTAGAACATTGAAAGCTGTTGACTAATTATTTCTAACACAGTCGCTCAACAGTATCAAGGTAAACATAAGATCTGTGCATTCATGGTTTGCTCGTGTTTGATTTGAATGATCCAGTTCCTAAATTATACAATAATACAACACTGAAGTATGCTGAAACTAATCATTTTGCTTTCTAACTAGATTCTAACATATTGACCATAGAGTTTATCACAAGAAGATATGTCATATGCTCACCTGTCATTTATCATCCTGTAGTATCTTGTAAAGCCACAAAAATAAGGTAAAACCGATTAGATTGATAACGAAAATTCAAAAGTATATCTATGTATTTACTTGGTTATTTATCTCCAGAATACACAGAGCAGCAAAAACTGACTTCCATATGTAGCCTACTCAATCGCATAATCACTGTTCACTTTCCAGTTAACTCATATCTGGTTTACTCCTGAATTGTAATGTAAATATTGCTGTGCACATCCTAATGAATATTAATAGATTATTGTGACTGACCTTCTCGACGAATTGATAAATGGAATTGTTGTCTGACTAGTGATTTTGTGAACTATAATATGCACTCCTCTTGCATAAACTGTTTTCTGTGTGACAAAAGTAATTCAACGACAAACCACCTTTCTTTCATATAAAATAAATAACTGAACAACCTAAATACTAAAGAAATGAAATCACTCATTTGAATCGGGAATCTAGGATTAAAATACAACTGGTTGAGTATGTATTATCATTTCGATGAGAACATTGTTGACATGGCTACAACAAGTGTTTTCACATTTTCAATATGAAAATATTTTGATCGATTGGTTTTTCTAAATAGATAATGTTTGTTCGTCTATCTTCTTTCCTTGAAATTATTTTTCACTTCCGTTTCAGTATACATGAAAATTAGTTGTTCGTAGGTTTAATGATAGTCACTACTATTACTATTACTACTACTACTACTACTACTACTACTACTACTACTACTACTACTACTACTACTACTACTACTACTACTACTACTACTACTACTACTAGTACTACTACTAATACTACTACTACTACTACTACTAGTACTACTACTACTACTACTACTACTACTACTAATACTACTACTACTACTACTACTACTACTACTACTACTACTACTACCAGTACTACTACTACTACTACTACTACTACTACTACTACTACTACTACTGAAGTAGTATCTGACTCTCAGCAATTTCACCTCTCTTTATCTGCATTGATTATTATTTATTCAGAGCGGTTAATATTTGGAGCAATTTCATTTGGCTTATTGGCTCCTTGGAATATTACACTCACCCACGATATTTTAACATCTTACACTGCGGAAACCATGATCTTCGAATAGATCATTTGGAGCAATATTGAATTATTCTCCAGAAACTGCAACATCATATACACCAGTTAGCTTAGCCTTTCATTTTGAAAGTTACATAGTTAAACTCACTCGTCTTCGGTGAATTGTTTGTTACTAAATTTATTAAATAAAATTAAGCGGTATAATAGATTACAACTTCCAGAAGACTAAATAGCTTGAAACATATGATGAATACTTTGTGGACACTGTTTACGACTGTGCAGTTCAAAAGAGACAAAGATTGAGAAGTGATCTTTTTTAAAATCACCTTTACGTTAAAGTGTTTTTGATAGACAGAATTGATTGATTCATTTCAATGTTCTGAAAAAAACAACTTAAATATGTTTTATTCCTAATTAAATTGTCTGACTCGTCCCGTTGTTAATATTTCTGATAGAATTGTGACCAATCTTGGTTGCATTTTGAGCATCGTATGTGGATTGTCTTGATACATACATTATGATAAAAGTGGGTATAAATTAGTTTATTTAAAATTACTGAAATAAGTCAAACAAATGTTCAAATTCACTTAAGGCTTTGTTAATCAGATTCATTGCGAATACTTCATGTTGTTAATGATATTCAGCTATTTTATTGAAATAAATCTCTAGAATTCATGGTTTCCATTTAATAATCAGTTTCGCAATTCTCATCATTTTATGTTGAATCTCTAAAGTGATATCAGTGCTTGAGTGATCAGCTACAAAGCTTTCTGTTTCTAATATTCTGGTTGAAAAAAAATGGAGTTTGAAATTGCTTAAATCTCCCAGCATATCGGTCTGCATTAATACTACGTATTCCATGGTATCCTATTCGCCGCCGACTTTCTAGAAACGTCTACTGTGTTCACTTTTTGATATTATTATCTAATTGGAAAGAGAAAGGACGACGTCATCCTAAAGGTCTATCAGACATAGACCAGAGCACTGATGATAGATGACAACCAGAGAGCTAGATGTAGTTTGACGTTCTTAAGAAGCAAGCATATGGTTATAAATGGAGTTTAATTTCACGAAGAACATGTGTTGGTTTGTATGAATGAGTTTTGCATGTTTTCCAAATGATTAGCCGATATACGCATCATGACCATCTTTGGTGTTTTTACTCAAGTACCTGGTATGCACACGCTCATAGGAAATATTCACTAACAACGGCATAAGACTCACGCAACCACAGATCACCACATCGCGATGCGAGACAACAAAGTATCGGATGGAGATAACAGTAAGCGATTGATGCATAAAATATTTTTAATTGAGTGATCAGTTGCCTAAATTACCGCTTGAAAATGCTGTCATCACGGAAAGAAATTTGGATTTCTTTTCTGATGCACATAGGTATCAAGCTGTTTGATGATTGGAGAATTTAGCATATTCTAAATTATCAACGATTTCGAAAAGTTGAATATGATTTACTGTGGTGTTTGAATGAACTAGTAACTTCTTGTTGTTGAAAAATGCTGGATTTCGAATTCTAAGTACAATACATTCGTTTGTGCAGATCTTTAATTCTTGATTCATATACTTCTAAGCATCACAGTGGCGTCGCGATGGAACTTGTAATGGAACAGCTAGATATTCATTCTACTTCTGAAGCTTTTGAAGATTATTTGGAAAGGTTTGAAATCTGGAGTATGACCAGGAAAGATGTCAAAGATGATAAAATTGTGGCTCATTTCCTAACATTCATCGGAAAAGAAGCGTACAGCTTATTGAAAACCTTGGCATATCCAGAAAAACCTATTTCACTTCCCTATGCAATGCTAAAGGAGTTATTATTGAATCATGTAAAGTGCCCTGGTTTTGAATGCCGTGAAAGAGTGAAATTTCATAAGATGATTCGTCAAAATGACCAAAATGTTAAGGAATTCATTCTTGAATTGCAGAAACAGGCTGTCAAATGTAATTTTGGTGATCAACTTAATGTGCAGCTGAGAGACCGATTAATTGCAGGAATTAACATACCTAGTTTGGAAAGAGAGCTGTTAAGAATGTCAAACTGTTCCTTTCAAGATGTTAGAACTGCGTGCATTAACTACGAGGCGTTGAATGAACTTGATATTCAGTCGATGAAGATTTCCAATACTTTGATTAGTTGTCATGATGAAAAACAATCTCAGGGTCAATCAAAATTGTGTTCGTTTAACAGAGGTTCCTATTCTCGTGTAAAAATGAACGGTGTCTCAAAAAAGAATTACAAAGGAAATCAAAAAGGTGAGACCAAGTTTGGCAAATGTTTATCATGTGGAAAACTTCATTCTCGTTATTATTGTACATTTCGTAATGCTAAATGTTTTAGATGTGGTAAGATAGGGCACAATCAAGCAGTATGCAAAGCTACTGTTCATTTTGCCTCAAGTAGTGCTAAAGCTTGTAATTTAGATTCCAATAATTCAGCTGATCCTAATGATCATTTATCTTTAACTACCATTTCGAAAGGTAATGCTCATATTCAAAAGCGACTATATACATCACTTGGTTCATTTCATGACTTTATTGTGGACACAGGCAGTATAGAGTCCATTATTTCATTCAAGAACCTGAAATCGTTAGATCCGAACGTTGTGATACGACCCACTGATGTATCAATATTGGGGATTACTGGACACAAACTGCCTATACGAGGATGTTGTGAATTGCTAATAAGAGATGATAATTCCTCATTTATACCTTGTGAATTTTTAGTTAGTGACTATAGACTAACCTTGAACTCCCGTTTATTGAAGCAGACATGCACTACAGTAGAGGCTGAAGATATCCTAAATCGACTTCATGGTTCTAAAGTGTTCTCGAAAGTTGACCTAAAAGATGCTTATCTACAAATCCCTTTAGATCAATCCTCATCTATTTTGACGACAATTAATACTCCTTTTGGTCTGTTTAGATACAATTTCCTTCCATTTGGGCTAAGTTATTCTCCAGCCATATTCCAGGAAGTTATGAATAAGGTGGTTAGTGATCTTGAAGGTGTTGAAGTTTATCAAGATGATCTGATTGTTCATGGTGCTGATAAGGGAGCTCATGACCAGAGACTTATTGCCTTATTGCGTCGTTTAATTGAGAAGAATATTACAGTAAATCCAAATAAGTGTTCATTTAGTGTATCTAGTTTTGAATGTCTTGGATACCTAGTTGATGGTAATGGTTTTAGACCAGATATGAAACGACTAGCTCCACTGACAAATGCACCGTCTCCAAAAAATCTTACGGAACTACGTTCACTAGTGGGTGCTCTTCAGTACTATTCCCGTTTTATTCCTAATTTTTCTTGTCGTGCAAATTGTTTATTTAATATTTTGACATCCAATTCATTCAAATGGGGTGAGGAACAAGAGTCGTGCTTACGTAGTCTACTAAAGTTTCTTCAAAGTGATGCTGTTCTTCGAACTTACTCCCCTAGTGTACAGTCTGTGCTTATCACTGATGCATCACCTGTGGGTATTGGTGCAGTTTTGGAACAGGAAGGTAGACCAGTTATTTGTGTTTCACGCAAACTTACTGTTACTGGACAATGCTATTCACAGACTCAGCGAGAGGCATTAGCTGTGTTTTGGGCTGTTAAAAGACTTCATAAATATTTATTCGGAAAGAAATTTACTATTGTTACTGATCATGAGGCTTTGCAGTTTATTTATCATCCTGAAAAATCCTTAGCACGTGCCTCAGCTGCTATGGTTCAACGATGGAGTATTGCTTTGAGTGCCTACGACTATACGGTTCAGCACAGGAGTGCCAAACAAATTAAACATGTTGACTACATTTCTCGACAGTCATTACAAGATAAACCTGTTAATACTTCGGACTGTTTGTTGGTGCAACCTTTACCAGTGAAACGTCCAGATCTCATAAGAGAAACTCGTAGAAACTTTGGATGTATAATTCATGCTATACGGAAAGGTTGGAATGCTAATCTGAAACGCAGATTCCCTATCTATTTTTCAAAGCGAGATGAGCTATCCACTACTCCTGATGGTATTTTGTGCTTAAATGATCGGGTTGTTATTCCTCCCTCATTGCGTAAAGCTGTCCTGGAAGATCTTCATAGTGGACATTTAGGTGTTGAGAAAATGAAGTCCTTGGCGAGGCTTACGTGTTGGTGGCCAGAGATAAATGCAGATATTTGTCGTACAGCAAACAATTGTGTAAAGTGTCATAAGCTGAAAAATCAGCATTCGAAGTGGACTCCATGGCCAGTATCGTCGGAAGCCTGGCAGAGAATTCATGCAGACTATTGTGGCCCGTTTCTTGGCAAATACTATGCACTTGTAGTCATTGATTCTTTTTCAAAGTGGCCTGAAGTTTTTTTCACAACTTCACCGAATTCTGACTTCACAATTCAAGCATTAAGAAAGGTGTTTAGTCGAGAAGGGGTTCCAATGGTGTTAGTAACTGATAACGGCTCTCATTTTGCTGCAGAGGCAGTTACTACCTGGTTAAATGGTATAGGGTGCAAACATCTGTTTACTACTCCCAGACATCCTTGTTCTAATGGTCAGGCAGAAAATTTTGTCAGGACGTTGAAAACTGCTATTGATTCTATTGCCGCCTCAACATTTAATGAGCTGGAGAGGGGAGTAGATACCTTTCTACTGCAATATAGAAATGCCAGACATTCAGTGACGAAAGAGACTCCATCAAAACTATTAAAAGGAAGAATTCGTCGGTCGAATATGAGATGTTTGGAGTCTGCAGAAGTTACATATTATCGTGGCAATGATCTTCGACCATCCACGGGGATTGTTCTGAAGAATGTCGGGAAATCTATGGTGCGACTTCTAGATATCAATGACTTAAGTACACACAATCGACATGTTGATCAAATACAATTCCAAGAACCAGGTGAGTCTGTTCCAACTTCGGTTGTTAATTCTAATACTAATGAGAGCATTCTAGATAATACAGAGCCTTTATCCAATACACTGTCGGACAGATACAGGATGAATTTGAGAAGAAGACGTCCGATTGATTTCAGACATATACATTCCAATTTAA